CACTGGATATATCAGACTCTAAACTAAAAATTCAAATGAAAGTCAAATTCAGACTTGTAACAATCAGCTTCTACTTTATTCAAGGCTTAGCACATTGGAAAATGTATTAAATCAGTCCTGATACAGCTGTCCTTCTCCCATTCTTAACAGGAAGATCTTCATTTAACCCTTTTCTGTGTAGTGACTTTGAGCCTTTGGTTTCCGCAATAACAAGTGATGCCAGCATATTCATCCAGTGTTTCAAAGAAGCTTCTTGGTCATCACTTTTATAGTGATAAAACAAGCAAACTTTGACACTGATATAGCTGAATGAATTTTTTTTTTTTCATGTTACGGGTAAAACCCAAGGCCTCATCCATGTGGGAAAAGTGCTCTACCACTGAGCTACATCACTAGCCCCTGTTATTTTTCATTTTGAAATAGGATCTCACTCAGTCGCCTGGGATGCCTCCAAATATTAATCCTCTTTTCTCAGCCTCCTTAGTAATTGTGATTCTAGGTATTCACCACTGTACCTGGCAAAACCTTACTAGTCTGAAATCATATCATCTATTTATCCTAATTATCCCATATAAAATTGTTCATTTACTCTATATTATAAGAATTCTAATAAATGAAGTAGAAACATTTACCTGAAGGCTGCTGCACCAAGCTTGGGTTTTAAGGCTCCCAGGTATAGATAATAGCTCTTTGGTCAATTCACTGGTGGTAGGTCTCAGAATCAACAAGCATAACACACATACATGAAGTAGAGTTAGGTCAGTTGTCAGTGCATTAGCTTACTGTGAAATGTGTCTTACTATTTTTTAATCAGGTAAGATAGACACATAGTAAAAAGTCACATTCAAATAGGAAAAAAAGAAAATATAGAGTGACAAGGTTTTATTCTCCTGTGCCTTTAAACTTCCCTCTAGAAACATTCAGGGAATTGCCTATTTCTTTTCACGGTCGTAAATAACTATGTATGTACATTTAGAAGTACTTTTATAGGGCCGGGGAGATAGCTCAGTAGAATAAGCGCTTGCCTGGCAAGTGCAAGGGCCTGAGTTCAATCCCCGGTTCCACAAAAAA